TTCAGCAAATATATACACGTGTGTGTGTATTGATGAGTAGTATTTTTTAAAAAATTAATTGTCTAAAAGACTGCAAAGAGTTATAATCAATTAAAAGTATTAATTAAAAAATAGAATTAAAAATATTAAATTAGATTCAAATGATATTTTAATATGAATAATAATTTTTAAATTTTGCTCCAACATTTAACATCTTATGACCATGCGATTAGAGTTGTCAAAACGACTCTTTGTTCGTGAACAGCTCGTGTTCGACTAGCTAAGCAAACGAGTCGAACACGAACACACTTTTTGAGTTTGAAATATAAACAAGCCGAACACGAGCGAGCCTCGCTCGTGTCAAAGCCGAACATCTTATGACCCAGCCTCGCTCCTGTTCGGCTCGTTTACACCCCTAGATGAAATTCTACGAGTTGAGCCTAGGCTCGCTCGTGTTCAGCTCGTTTACACCCCTAGATGAAATATTAAAATATAAACTAGAACACTATGAAACCTCTTGAATGATTATTTCAATTATATAAACTGTTAGAGAAATTTTATATTGATTTACCATGAAAAATGAATTTTGTCCCTTTATTTTGTTATGTTATCACAATTTACATATATGAGTATTCATTGAGTTGTTGAAAACTCGTCAGAATTTAAACTAGCACTTTCATATTTAAATCTTCAGCTAAAAAATGAGAGAAAGAAGTGAATATATTTACAGAAGAGCCAGCCAAATAAGAGAAAAAGAATTATACATTCAGAACTATTTAACAATTGAATTGGTTTAATTTTAATTATTAGTTTCTCTTTTGATTATTTAGATGATTCTATTTATCAGTTGGTGATGTTATTAGAAATTAAATATTTTAATTTCATTGTTCAACTGTTTATTTCCGCCTTGATAAATTTTAAGTCTCTAGGCCAAATCGAGACAGATGGTCTCCAAACTGGATAAAAAATGCCAATCATTAAGATAGTGTATTTTTTTATTAATGAATACTTAAATCTATTGTAGTAGAGAAAAGAAAATTGATGGTTTTGTAGGAAAAATAATGATTTGGAAGTTTTGTGGGAAGAAAATGATTAGGAAGGATCAAACAAAACTAATGAAAAGGAAGATGATAGTGCCGCACCATATATCTCTTGTTTCTCCATCCAAACCTGCCAGACACAGAACAAACCCTGGCCATTCAATTTTGCCTCCACTTCACAAACAACCGACAATCTGTACTCATCAAAGATTTTCTTTTTTTCTTTCTTTCATCCTTTTATGTATTTATTTATTTATTTATTTTTTTTTTTTGATCGACCTTTGGAGCATAGTTGGTGTGAAGGGATGGGTAATGATGACTAAACATTATTAGGTTTATTAGGTTAAACATTTTCTTATAATTTTATACTGCTATAAATCTGCCTCCCCAAGAAGAAATGAGGAATATCGAAAATCAATGAATGAATCAGCTTTGGTTGCCCAATCTTCCTCCCAATGACTACTAAGCCCTCTCCTTACAATACATATGTGGAGTTTTAAGCATCCTCAACTTAACAAGTCACCATGTATTTTGCTTTTATCTGATTTCTATATTTTTTCTTAGTTTTGCCCATATCAGTTTCACCTATGTTCAAGAAATGAAAGCATTTAAATTAAACAAAAGAGATGCAAGTCGGATTCTGAAGTACCTTAGGATGAGCAAGCATAACATTAGCAACATCTTGCCATTGTGATGAGATATAACCTGTTAAGAGATGGAAACTGCAAGCAACAAGTGCAGCATGTATAACAGGTAGGGAACTTCCAACATGATTGTCCTACAAAAAGAATTCGCCGTCAACTCAAAATTTCTATAAAGTCATATAAATATAACTCAAGAGGTTCCAATGCAAGAACCGTCAGGAAAAAGAAACTAAACCTGATCACATTGAGCAAGAACAATCAGCATGAAAATCACCAAATCCATCACTTGTTCACATAGTTTTACATCGTCAAGAAGAATCTGAAAGAAAATACCATAAAAATAATGACCACTATCTTTCATAAATATAAATAATATATAAATATATACATATATAAAACAAAATTTCCTTTATTCATAATATATTTAGGAAGGATATTACATAAGTAGAAACTTTGTTAATTTCGACAAGTTTTGAAATGTATTATGATAATGAGACAAATTGAAAATAATAAAAACATGTTAATTATGAAATTTTTCCTTTATCCGTGATATATAGTAAAACAATAAGTATTAGTCTGGAAAAAAACCTGCTCGAGTCTGGAGTGACGAGTTGCGAGGTCAGAAAAGCTATACAGAAGGCGAATTCCATGAAGCAAATGCAAAAAATTCTCACCACGACCATTTGACAATAGTACTGCAATAATGTGCAATGGTAGAGAAGATGCTAGACCCTCTAGATCAATCTGAATTGGAAAAAAATGCAACAAAAATTTCAAAATGGCTCATAATAAATGAATAACTATAACTATTCAAGGGAAATATAAACTAACTTGTCTAGAGCACCCTCTTGAATCATTGAACTGTATGGTGAAAGTGTCGGTCTCTTTCAGCAACTTGGTAATCTCTTTAGGGGGGATCCCACTCAGCTCTTCAATAGCCGAAATAAGGTCAAACATCTGCACAGAAAATAAAGAAGACTCTTAAGGACAATGATTGCAAAGATAACAACATATAATCTCATGGCATAAGAAAAAAAAGGGATTGGTCAATAAAGAAAACGAAAAGAATCTGAAAAATATCCAAAATGAGAAGGGTTGTAAGGACTTGATAGCATAAAAACACCACACAGAAGAGTGACTGGGTGCCAGGCCCATTAAATACAGTGGAACCAATATTCCCAAAATTGAGTAGTCCCCAAATTTGAGTAGTAACTAACATAAAGGGTAACAATAGAAAAAAAAAAACAAAGCAAAGCAATTCATATATGAAAAGATAATGCTCCAACTTGCTAGAAGTGGTGTCAACCAAAATTAGCCATGCAGCAAGGTATGCATGCATAAGAATAGACTACTATTTTTGAGATAATAGAAGTCACCGTATCCTTACACATCTTCCACCGTTTATAAAAAAAAAATTAATTGTTGAGATTAGCAGAGGCTAAAAGGGCAAGTGCTTACTTTTTTTTTTAGAGAAAAAGCCCAAAATAATCCCCCAACTTTCATAAAGTGATCAATTTAGTCCCAAACTTTTAAAGTGCTCCATATTAGTCACAGACTATTGAAAATTAATCTAAATTAGTTTTCTATCTATTTCTCATTTAACTTAACGATGTTGTGGGCCAATTATGGGTAAATTGGTCAAATAAACATTAACTTCCATTTTTTCCTCTATTTTGCTTTAAATATTGGATTTTCTAAATTATGTCAGAAGATAGATTTACAAGATTTAGAGAAGCTGAAGCGCTAGAAAGTGGAAGCGACGAAGGGAGAGAAAAAAGAAGGTTACCTTGGTTTAAGGTAGGAGCGAAGCAAAAAGAGAAAGAAGGGAGTTTTGGATGTTCGTACGTCGCAATCCCATCGTTGCCATCCCAGAAAGTTCTAATCGCGACTGTATCGTGAGAGTTCGATCACGAAGGCGATGGTTAAGATTCTGTCACAAAGGCAATGTTTTTAAGCAAAACAAGCAGTAACCTGCTTTCTTTGTAATCCTAATACTTGTTTAAGAAGTTGTTCAAGGTGCACACCTCTAGGTGCGCCTCGAACTGAGGCAAACAGAAAATGCTTTAAGGTGCTTGAGAAGATGCCTTAATTAAGTTATGTAAAAAAATTATAATATATATTTTTATTTTTTGAGAAAGATGAGCCCAGAGATCAATAAGAGCGATTCAAACTCGCGGCCTCATGGTGGGAAACTACTACTATGTTGCTGATAAATACGCAAGTATGCTATAATATTAATATCTATTATATTATATTCCATTATAACATACTTATATCTAATATATTTGATATAACGCCTCAAAAAATTTGAAAAGATAATTTTATGATTGCTTGGTTGTTTTTTTTATTTGTTTTTTTATTTAAAATTAGATTGTTTTAAATGTTATCTGATATAAAAAATAATAAAGAAAATGTATTGCTAAAAAAGAATTTAAAAGATTTCAATCAAATCAAATCAATTGATGACAAAATTATTATATATGATAAGAGTTAAATGTGATCGGCGTAGATAATGATCATAATGGTATATTTAAATTTTAAGTGAATATTTATCTTGAATCTCATTTCAAAATTTCATTTTATATTAGCATTTAAGATTGATATTGTGGTTTAAGCCTTCATGATAATAAACTAAAATATTACATTAATGATTTATGTCTATTTATGAATTATTTTTTATTTTACAATATCTTTTCAATTTTGAGAAACACGTCTCTAATTGCCTAAAGCCTTATGCATCACCTCACTAAGGCAAAATGAATCAGTTCTCAATTTTGCATTTTAAACCTAAATTTAAATGATCAAGAATTAAAAAAAATTAATGCACCCAATTCATAATCAAATGATCTTTAAAGCTTCTGAAACTCATGCATGCCACGGCTAATTTTTTCAAATAAAAACCGCTCCCAGTGTTTTAGGCGGCAAATTATGAAAAATATATTTTAAGGAATCGAATCACCCTTGCTTGAAAATCATGTGAATTGGCTTCGGTTTAAGAAAACCAATGGAATAGTAAAAGGTTGCCAAAACTTATCACAGACTTCTACTTTGAGATTCTTTAAGAACAAAAATATAAGTAGGCTCGCCCACCCCCAATTTTAAAATGGGAGACTAGCCAATAGCCATATCTCCTAAATGATTTTATATGTATATACATTCCAGAAATTTCATCCTCCTACACTGACATACATATTCCTCATTTGAGGCTTCTCACATAAAAAAAACCTATGATCTTATACAGAAGATAACTTTCAATTATGGAAAATGTATACACTTTGTGATTATTTGGTTCAAATATCTCACTTTGGATTGTGGAATAAGGGAACACTAATTGTTCAGAGATAACAAACCGAATCATGATACATGATTTTGCAATCCTAAGTTGCCACCTAGGTGATTAATTTGAATCTATTTGGTTTACAACCAAACAAGTTGCTGACACACTTACTTCAGACTCTTTTGTTTCAAAGCAACCATAAAGGTCAAATGATCTTTAAAGCTTCTGAAACTCATGCATGCCACGGCTAATTTTTTCAAATAAAAACCGCTCCCAGTGTTTTAGGCGGCAAATTATGAAAAATATATTTTAAGGAATCGAATCACCCTTGCTTGAAAATCATGTGAATTGGCTTCGGTTTAAGAAAACCAATGGAATAGTAAAAGGTTGCCAAAACTTATCACAGACTTCTACTTTGAGATTCTTTAAGAACAAAAATATAAGTAGGCTCGCCCACCCCCAATTTTAAAATGGGAGACTAGCCAATAGCCATATCTCCTAAATGATTTTATATGTATATACATTCCAAAAATTTCATCCTCCTACACGGACATACATATTCCTCATTTGAGGCTTCTCACGTAAAAAAACCCTATGATCTTATACGGAAAATAACTTTCAATTATGGGAAATGTATACACTTCGTGATTATTTGGTTCAAATATCTCACTTTGGATTGTGGAATAAGGGAACACTAATTGTTCAGAGATAACAAACCGAATCATGATACATGATTTTGCAATCCTAAGTTGCCACCTAGGTGATTAATTTGAATCTATTTGGTTTACAACCAAACAAGCTGCTGACACCCTTACTTCAAACTCTTTTGTTTCAAAGCAACCATAAAGGTTAAGCCTAAGGTTACCTATAGTGAAAAGCAATGTCCTACTGAATTAAAGCTAACTTTTTCAACAAAATATATTCTAACAAAACCTTTCTTGTTTTCTTCTCTCTACACCCAACAAGTTCCACTTCCAACTATAAAAAATATTAGAGAGAACGACCTCATATATCGGTGATCTCAAACACACAAATATGTATTATGAATCGAAGATTTACCACTTGAGAATTGCAAAAAGCAAGTTTGTGCCATCCAACTACTTGCTCAAGCATTCACCTTTGATTCCAAAGTTAAGTAATAAAAAAGGACGAGTAGTCCTCTAGGTGTTCGCCTTTAAAGCCCATATAAGAAGCTGCCCAAAGTATCTGATTACAAAATTAGTCTCGAAGCCCAAACACATTTTTATAGAAAATTAGGACCTCCAATCAGGGTTCATACTAGACACTAAAAACTTGAAATACTGATAATGAAAACTAGCACTACAAAAGCCCAAAAAGCAAATCAGCATGTTCCATTGACTTGCTCAAAAATTCAATTTTGATGCGAAGGTTGGATGCTCAACTTGGACAACTACTCCTCTAGGTATTTGCCTCACAAAGCTTAGCCATGAATCCAACCAAAGTATTGCTAGAACATGAGCTTCGAAGCAAAAGCTCCTCCATATATCAAATACCTAAAAATGATTTTATAATTTATAAATGACAACAACCAACACGGAAAAGCAGTTTACTGTTAAAATCATCCAATTAATAGAAACACCTTGTAAATAAACTATCTATTGTCTCCAATATTTCATAATTAATCTTACTCTAATCAACTTCAATAGCATATTGAATACTCTTAATGCTCTCATCAACAGATATATCTCTGGCAGACCAAGGGACCAAACCATGATTCGCATAAAAATAATAACTGCCTAGAATTGGCCGACGTTTGCCAAATACTTTGAAAGTTAACTCTGCTCCACATTGAATGACATAAGATCAACTACAACCTTTGCCTATCACTCTGAAACTCTAAGGGGTTGTTTGGTAGCTCCTTTTAATAGGATTTATCACCGGATTAACTAAATCCAACCAAACGATACAATGGAAGAGTTCCGTGGATCATGAATTTTTGAAATTAGTATCCCAAATTTTACCTTTGATTCGGCTTAAATCTAGATTTACTAAATCCATGGGTATTGTGAATTTAATGGATGTACAAAATCCTACTAATGCTAAATTCTACTTGCAGCCAAACAACTACCATCAGAGAGCTCTGTACCGCCTTCCCAAGAAAACTAACTTAAATCATTGCAGGAGTTCCGCCATAACTCTCATTGAGGGCTTATTAGCAGAATCAAATCCAAATCAGCAAATTAAATCCAATATTCATCATCCCCTACTGCTCCAGCTAGCCGTAGCAAGCGCCCACAATATCTATATCCCAAACAAGATTAACATTTTAAAATTCCATAGCATTATGTTAACTAAGGACTCTTCCCCTCCAAAATTAAGCCTCCTTCCTTAAGATGAGCCCTCTCATTTCTCCCTCCTCTCTCGTATATAGCATTCCATACATTTTACAATTAAACACACAACATTTTAGGAAGCCCTAACAACACTAGGGATAAATCGCACTGAACCAACAACAACTGAAGTGAGGAGAAAATAGCAGAAAGGATCATAAGTACACGTTTCAAGTATTTAGAAATACTGAATAAAGCAAAAACCCTATTCTTCTAATCACGACATTGATTTTACCTCGTCAGCCGCGCTAATGGCCAACAGGGCACGGCGCCGTAACCAAATCCAAGGTGGTGGCTCAGCCAAAGGGAGATTTAGCCGCAGCGGAGAAGTTCGCCGGGTGCGCCTCGGCGACGTTCATTTGGCCGCACGGTGGTTAAATCTCAGAATGAAAGATTTATAGACAGAGAAAAACGCACGATGCCAGTATATATCCGCCAAATACGAATACGTTCCTATTGAAATATTTAGTGGAATAACACGGTCACAATAACACTTCAGCCCTGAATAAAGTAACACATATAATATTTTAATAACACTGGAAAATAATCAAAAAAATATCATATAATATTTGAATAATAAATTATTTTTATAAATAATGTGGATGAAATATTCTCGTAACACAGCTAAATATTCAATCCGAATGTAGCTCTAAGTCAGTAGTCCTGATTTAATATTTTTCTGTCAATGACATAATTTAATACCCTCCATATGCTTCCAAATGATGATATGAAAGGAGCTATAATTATTTACAGCTACAATTATAAATTTATTATGAGAAATAGTTTTTCTTAAGCCATTTTTTATTCAATTTTTCTAAATTTGATTGCAAAAAATTATAATTCATCACAAAAATAGCCAAAAATAAAAGTGTTGTTGAATATAATTATAGTTATGATTTGAAAAGAAATCTAAAAATGATAGTTGATGAATGTCTTGATAAAGTTAAGTATTTTGTACACATGATTTTTCAAATATATATTTTTTTTTATTTTGAGGGAATGTTTAAGTGTTTATATATGGAAAAATTATTGCATGTGATGAACCAATAAAAACACTTCCTTTACAAAAAGTGTATGTTAGTGAGCCCCAATTTTAATTTTTTTTTAAAAAAAATCTTATTGGACAGCGCACGTTGTCCGCAGAATAATTGTTCCTATGTATGAAACATAAAAATTAATTTAGAGATAAGTATTTTGTACACATGATTTTTCAAATATATATATTTTTTTTATTTTGAGGGAATGTTTGAGTGTCCATATATGAAAAAAGTATTGCGTGCGGTGAACCAATAAAAACGCTTCCTTTATAAAAAGTGTATGTCAGTGAGCCCCACTTATAATTTTTTTTAAAAAACAATCTTATTGGACAGCGCACGCAAATTGCGCGTGCGCTGTCCGCACAGAATAATCGCTGCCATATATGAAACATAAAAATTAATTTAGAGATTATTTATATCAAAGGAAATTGCAAATTGATTATTGATTTTAGTGATCAAATAGAAATTGTGAGCTAACATTCAACTCTCTGTTATTCAACTCTCTTTGTTGTGGTTCAAGAAGTAATGCACAAATACCGAAAAATATTATTTAATTCAATTAGCCTATAATTTATAAAAACTGCAGAAAAGCATCATAACATTAGAGCCTAATGATTTTATGAATAATTTCACATAGCTTAACGTCATCATGAAATAACTATACCAATCATTTTAAATTATTGGAAGTAATAAAGTTGCTTAGCATCAAATTAGATTTAAATTAAATTGTCAAATTATTAAAATAAGTAAATATAATGGATAATTTAAAGCTAGGTTATTTATAAAAGACTCATAAATCTATATCCAAGTTAGGTTTGAAAAGGAAAAAAAAATTATTACACTAATGAATGACATAATTTTACAGAAATGATGTGTTGAATACAATCCTAATGATTTTATGAATAATTTCACATAGCTTAACATCATCATGAAAGATAATGTGAATACAATTAATATAGAGCATGCAAATCTAAATTATAAATATAAGATAATGTAAATAAAAAAAATTGTCATATAATTAGTTACTTTCTTTGCCCCGCTTTCCACATCCACAAAATTTGTTTATGTCAACAAGTACTTATTCAATCTATAAGATGGTACTATAAAATGATAATTAAAACAAAATATTTGTATTAATATATCAAATACTAAAATATGAAACTAAATTGATTATTCAAAGCTTGAATTCACTTTTTAACAATAAAAATATCAAAATAATTTAAATATTGATGCTTTTAAATCATATAATCAAGCTATCTTACCTTACTTCTATTATCCAAAATTAATAATAATTCATGATCTCTCTCCAAGGATGAGCTTGATTATCACTTATATATTCTTAACAATCATTATGCATGGACAACATAATCATTATTTATTTATTAGAAAATTCATTAAAATGTTGAATATGTTATTGAAGATTTATCTCTAGACATGCATCACATTAAGGTTACTTTCATTGCCAATATAATAACTCCCATGAGTATTTTTAATCTCTTTATATACATTATTAAACATAGGGATTATTTGTTTGCTAATTTTTTTGTTTGACTTAATTTGTTTAAAATCATTCAACCTTCTCTAAATATCTTATCAAATTAGAATAGATGTTCACAAATAATTTTTAAAACTCATTTTCAATATTTGTTTAAGCAAAAGCAGACAATGAAAGTCAAATTAAGATTTTTTTGTGGATGATTCAATAAAAAATTACTTGATTTCTCCATATAAAATAAACATGTCTATTCATCATGGTGCTCCTTTGACACAGCATTGTATGTTAGAAATCCAATAAATATTAATATGACAATCTTATCACAAACTTTTATTCTAATGCTTTAGAGATGTGACACATTTCTCCGACAAATATAGTGGATCACCAAGCAAAGGCATTGAAAAAATATTTTAGTTTTTGTCAGTCTTTGAGGATCTAATGCAATTTAATGTCAAAAAAAATTTGTGATTTTATGTAAATATAATGTTAAATGTTGTAAGACATTATATGTAAAAGTCATTTAGGATCATATTTTGTTGAACCCAAACGTGTCATGGAATCACGCCCAAGGAATAGAGCGCGTGAAAAAAGTGAAGGAGAAGAGATAAACAGTAAAGATAAGTGTCCAAAGTCTTTTCTCATGAAATGGTTTCTTATTTATAGGTGTAGGAGACACATTACTTTTAACCCCTTTCTATGTAAACATAATTATCTTTAAGAAATTTCCTATGTAGTGAAATGTAGGGGAATCGTGGGCGTGGTACATTTAATTAGGCCAATAAACAATTATTGACCTAGTTGTGTCATGCTTCTTAATTATTTGTTGACCCTTGCTTGTCTGCTAGGCAATAATAGGTCGAACTACGTGACGATGGTATGAAGGTTCCTCAATTTGGCATTCTCATGGCTTCTTCTCAAAATCTGGTTCGCCTGCCTCATTTGTTGGATGATAAGGCGTATTTCGTTCGGTCCACCCTGCGGGCATCTTTTATTCGACCTCCTTGTTGGTCGGCCCACTGACTAGGCAAACGACACGACAGAGCTCCATAATGGTCTCCCGACTTGGGCATTAATCTTTTGATTTATTCAACTTCGTTTGTTGACTGGTTTTGTCACATCTTAACTAAGAACCCACTTCATTTGATGTGTTCCTCAGCTTTGTATTGAGATCTGTTCTGCCAAGCTCTGGTAAAACATATATAATTCCCCAACTTTATTATTTTATGAAAGCGACAGCTGTGATAAAAACAAAAAAGCTAAATATTGCATTAAATGCAACTTTAATTTTTTAAATCAATTAATAATTAGATTCCTTAGATTTATCTGCACCTCCACTTCATAACCATCACCTTCGTGATCGAACATTCGCGATTCAATCACAATTAGAACTTTCTGGGAGGGTAACGATGGAATTGTGGCGTACGATGAAATTCTAAATTTTTTTTTCTTTTTTTCCAAAAAAGATCAACTTTTTGCTTACTCAACTTTTATTTGTCTACATTCTCTTACATGTTGTAGTAGTTGAGAAGTAGTTCCCATTTTAGATTTATGAATTTTTTTTTCGACAACATATGCATTGCCAAAATGGAGATGGGGTCCCTTTAATAGCAAATGTTGCCTCTACAAAATACTCTCACACTGTTGACTTCCTCTTCATACCTTTCTTAGCAAGGACTTCTTCAATGTTGTTATCGATGACAACGTCTGACAAAACTTCGGGCACTACTTCTTGCTCTAAATTTTGTGAATTAAGATATACATTTTTATTACTATTTTTAACTTCTGCTAGCAACTTGTTGCAGGATGATTCAAATTGTGAAAGATCCAATTCAGGTATGTTTGCAAACTATAAGAAATCAAAAGTAGGGAATGAGCAACACTTTAAATTAATGTCAATTAAACTCTTGATATAACATAAAATTAAATCTTCATACATGACAATTAGTTGACTAAAGCTTTCTAGTTACATGCTTCCTCCATAGAAGGGATATTCTATAATTGAAAGAACTTTAACATACTTTCTAAGAAAATAAATATTAAATATATTTTTATAATTTCTATTATTTGAAGCAAACAAAATCAATTTTCTCTTTTATGATTGTTGAACGCACAAGGTCCCAAAAGTTAAGCAACGAGATGAATTTGCTAAATAGTTTCCAAAGAAGACTCACATAGCCACTCTTGAAGTTTCTACATGCCAACAAAGAGAGAATTTCCACCATACTCAAGGAAGTAACATGTGTGTAAATTGTGAGGGGAAATAATAAACCAACCTAGGCATATTTACTAGTAAGTAGCGACATACAAACTGAAAGAAATAATAAACCAGTTGTCTAATAATAAAACAACACAATAATAATGAAATATAACCCTTGGCAGTTGATCTTGAAAATGCTCAATAGCTAACTCACAGCATATGAACTACCTACAATGGATCATGAAATTATCATTCATATCCTAATCATATTTTTTTCCATCATTATTGTGGCAATTAGTGAGATAAAACATTCTCCAACTTTGAAAGAACTTGAAGTCCAATTCTTGTGAAAAAAATATCACTGATGTAAACATTTTGAATTTGGTCAATACTTAAGCAAAAGTTTCAGGAAGGCAATCATACATGAAAAATATTAAGGTATGCATCTTCTTGTCATTTATATTTCACTACAAGTTTTGTCATTTTGCATAAACAAGAAGAGAAATTTATAAATGGACGACCATTCATGCAATCATGCTAAGATAACCAAATTGAAGTGATGCAATATACAAACGGTTGGAATCACATGTAATGTAAGTCATTTGTATGTAAGGCAAAGTGAAGCAGTATACAAGTTAGGTAAAGTGATGTAGTATACACTAACTATTTTGAATGTAAAGAGTAGCATCC